TAATAATAATAATAATAATAATAGAGACAGACTGTCATGATAGCATGTGTCTGGACACTGAAAGAATCCCTACCTACAGACCTCGTTTTTCCAGCTGCAGAACTGACTGTCCATCTTACTTAATATAGTTGAAGCAGGAAAGAAAAGTAGTAGGGCTCTGAAATGTATGTATGTTTAGAAGAAAGAATCGCTGCATAGTTTCGTACATAGATTTTCTTGTTTACAAGTGCATTGAATTTGCTTTGCTTTAATCTGAACAAATTAGAAGTGGAACAGTTAGACACAGTGCTTGCTAAAATATGAAAACAAAAACTGTTTCACTCTTTGGTCCACCTCTCATTTGTAATGATCCTCTAACTGGGATTTTTGGGCCATGCCTGCAAGTTGTTCACTATGGAATCCAGCTCCTTTTCCCATCTTGTAGTAGTTCTACAGTTCTGTATAAGTTTAGATAGTGATACAGGGCAATTTTGGGGGCGGGGGGAAGTCTGTCCGGTTCTTCTAGGAAGTGTGTAGAGGAGACTGAGTTGAGCCTATCAAGATAAACAAAAAGGAGACATTTCTGGTCACTTCAGCAGCAATACCACTTGAAGACAGGCTGGCCTATTGAACTTAATAGATTGACATCTGTGCTTCTAGTTTTGTAGCAGGAAGCTCAAAGCAGGGCTGAGGTGGAGTTGCTGGTGTGTCAAGTGGCAGTTCATCCCATTTGTACTAACCGAGCGCAAATTACCAAGGACTTCCCAAGTGTACAACTTCTATGAAGTAGCAGCAAACTGATGAGGACTAGCTTCTTTTTTACGTGCATATGCTATGAAAAGCTGCACCTTTTCTTCAAGATGGCTTTCACCATCAAAATGAAAACGTAAACATTAAATCAGCAGGGGTATCACCACAGAATCCTAAGGGTCTTGATTTGGTAAAGGAATACATCTAGGTCAGTTGCCTGAGGAGCCTAAGAAACAGTCACTGGGTATATTTACACAAACTAATGATCAAAATACAAAACAAATTGGCAAATGTTCATCTATACTGGATTTCCTTGGAACAGACTGAACAGGATGTGGTTTGTCCGTGCCCTTGGGCGAGCAATCTTCAGTGCGTTAGGAAAGTGAAGACCACAACTTTGCGTGATGACAGAAGCAGGCAGTAGCAGGACACATGGTCTTTCAGGGTTCATGCTGTGATGAAGATTCATATCAATGTAATTAAATGTTTTCTGGAGGAGGCGTAATTTAAAAAACAGAAAGACCCTCCACCCTCATAGGCCCACCGTCCTTATCACAGTGGGGAGGAGATTTGACTTACCTGGGTGCCTAAAACCATGACAGCAGCAATAGATCAGCAACAGTACCTGAAACTTCACCTGTGAAGCCCCTAGATAATGTGGAGGTTTAGGTGATGAATGCTCAGGTGGTGCAAAATGTCCTTAATTAACTGATCTCAATAGCAGTATTGCAGAGTACATTAGTCAAAGAACTACCCCTTAAAAGTGGTGTTACGGCTAATGCACTAAGCAGCACCTCTTTGTGTGAGAGCAGCCCAGTACGAAAATCTTCAGTGCTACCCCCTTGAAACACAATCTATAGCAAGGCTGGACAATGCAAATGCATGGCAAATGCTGAAGTCATCAATGAGCTGGTGATGACTGACAGTCTAAATGCAGGTGAAAAAGACAATGGGGTCATTCAGAGATAGGTGAAATTCTCAGTCAAAGAACTTACATTAATTTGCTGCGTTGAGTAATTCAAGTGATACTCAAGAGCTTGCTACTTTTTGAGATACCAGTGACTGCTTGCTTTCTGTCCTGAAGATACCCCAAGAGAACTTGGGTGGCAGCCTGGCATTTCTAACTGTGGGAATGCGAGGATGCAGGAACACAAAGTGGGGAAGGGACTCTGCAAGTCACATGCATTTTGGATAGAGCTTTGCAAAAATTATTTTTTGTTTGACCTCATTTTTTATTTCCTATTATATAAGGGGTGAAAGTACTGACTATTAAGACTTCTGAAAAATACCTAAGTATTTTCTCAGAAACTTTTGAAGATTTGCCAAGATCATGAGTTCATTAAGTAGTGCACGCTTAGCCCAGTTGCCTTCTTTCAAGTTACTGCTTTCAGTGAATTTGATTTGTTCAGCTATCTGTTCATGCTTTGATGTACCATTCTTTTGACCAGAGAAGTGGTGGTTATGGGGAGTTACCTTGTCACCAGATCTAGAGCAAAAAATTGCCCTGTCATGTGTACAAAACATTTGTCTCTGTCAGTAGTCCTGTAAAGTAGATCCTGTGACCTCTTTCATAATAAACCCCATTGTCTAGCATCTACAATAAAGGCCTGAAGTTCACCTTGAAATGAACTGGGTTTATAGAGTGTGATCAAATAGGACACTGTATTTCTGTGATAGTTCGAGACCTAACGGGGGCCTTTCCCTAACTACTTTCCCCTTAAATCTGTCCACCTTGCCAGTTCCACAGCATATGGCCAGCACCAAAAGAGGAGGTTTGTGTGTGTTTTTTAAGCTACTGCAGGCAACAAATCTTACGTTATTTCCTTTCTCAAAAGTCTGTGCTTATGAAGCCCTGATGTAGGAAATCTTTGAAGAACATTGCCATGTAACGTTGAACTACGCTCTAGTGCCTTTAAATGCCTCACGGCAGTATGGTTTGAAAGCTATAATATGTTGTGTTAACTTCTTAAAAGGTAACGGAATTACACTGGGTTGTTTTACTCCTGTTCTTTGGAAGTTGGTTTCGCTGCTTCTGCTGGTTGGCTGTGTGTTAACATCATGTTCTTTTTCCACAGAGAGGTGCTTGGAAGATCATGAGCTCATAGTTCAAGTCGAGTCCACAATGGGAAGTGAAAGTAAATTTTTGTTCAGGAAGAATTACGCAAAATATGAATTTTTCAAAAATCCCATGGTGAGTCTCGTTACTTAGTTGTTTACACCACAGAGGGAGGGATGGATCGCAGTAACATTGCTGGGCGCTGTTATGTCTTAAACATCTATAAAACCAAAAAAGCAACCAACAAACAATTCTTTCCAAAGAAATTTTAACCAATGAAATTTTAACCAATGTTTAAATTCCTTGTATTCTCCTCCCACCCTGAAAACCTCAAGTGTTTTCAAGTTACCAAATATACTTGTTTCAAAATGGCTGTTGTTATGTTGGAGAGTGACCAAGACAGGGAAATCTTTGTTGGTTTAAGAAAAACAATCAGAAGTGCAATTTATTCATTACCGTCAAAATTACTTGATTTGAAGCAAATTGGTTGCATAGCGTGCAGTATCCAAACCTTTTAATTTCTGACAGTAATGATAATAAAAAAAAGCCTCTGGGTAACCCCTAAAGCACTTACTGCATACAAGGAATTTCCAGTTTATCATTATATGTGTTGAACAGTGTCTCACCTCTAGATGTGCTTTACTAGTGTACTCTGCCTTCTTTACTGATCATAGTAACTCACTTTCTCCATGTCCTCATGTATATCCATGCTTGAAAAGTATTGTATGTCATAGCTATACTTATTCCTGGATTGTAAGATCCTTTGAATGTTGTAATTTTAAACTGTTTGCAGTGTTAACTGCTTATTTGGGGATGATTTTTCACATTTTATCTGAACAATTAAGTTGGAACGGGCTATTGACATGAGCTGATGTCAGCTGGTGCGACGACCTATCTAGATAGCTGAAGAAGGATAATCCAGAGCTGGTTTAGAGAACAGATTTTGGGTCAGTCGGGCATTTGTGGTGCCAGAAGAAAAAAAGATACATGAGGTCGCGTGGAAACTCACTGCAGATGATAAATTCATTCCTTTCCTCATAGACGCTAACGTACAGTTGCTGCATCCTCGCACGTGTGCTTGCATGTACATTTGTCATCTGCTAGTGCTTGTTTCAGAGGCTGTGCTTTGACTTACTGTGTGAAACATTTCTGTACATGGAGTGTTTGTAATTTTTCACGTCTGTTGAACTTCCCATCTGATAACCTATGAACATCTGAGTGTTGTACAGAAATTTTGGTATCATAGGAGCTAGCACATTGGTTTCATGTGGTATACTTTAATTAATAACAGAGCATGGGAGTAAAACCCAGAATGCTTGGCAGTCAGTCGCAGGCTCCTGCAATCAGAGAATAAATCATTCTTTTGGTGTAAGAATGCGAAGGCTCCCTATCCGTTGCATTAGCTGTTGCCATATGGCACTATTTCTACTCAAGAGAGGCTGGTAAATGTTAGCTTTCATAATTCATTGTGCAGCTTACCTGGCAGAAGGGTGATTCCTCTTCAGCCTTTCTCTTTATGCCCTAAAGACTGAAATTTATATTGCCTGAAGAGTGACGAGAGTTCTAAACTGGAAACGTTTTTGTTGTGATTCATCTTGTTACAATCAGTGATTGTTTTATTTCAGGCACTTCTGCATGTCTTCACGTTTCAAAGAATGTTTAAAAACTTCAAGAATGGCTTAACGTAATTGCTGTGTATACTAAATTCAGTGTACTGAATTATATAGGCATTTTAAAACACGGCAAATGAAAAGGGGAATTAGAGGAATAAATCTGAAGTCAGGTCATCGATTTAGCAGTCAGAAAACTGTCTGACCTTTGTCATGCAAAGATTCGGTATGAATGAGATAGTGTACCAGATGCCTGAAAATCGAAAAGCTCCGTAGAAGCTCCTGTTTGTGTGTTAAACAATATTTGCTTCTGTGTTTGTGGGATGGGGGAAAGGGGGTAGATGTCTGCTTTGAGATTATTCAAATCTAGCACATGAAGCAGGGCACACGAGACAAAGCCTAATTATTGCACGTGTCCTTGTTCAGTTTTTATTATTTCATTTCATGGAATATATGCTGACCTAGCCTTACAAGAAAAAACACTGGGCTTTGTTATGTTACCCTGAAATATAAAAAAAAAGGGGTAGATTTTGCAAAGGGCTTTTCTCTTGAGAGATTGAAGGGTTTCAAGCCCTGAGCGTAACCTGGCTGTTGAACAACCAAATGAAAGCATCAGCAGTCACGCACAAGCTCTTTCTCATAATTAAGGTCTGCAAATGACACTTAGTTTGGAGCCTTCTGAGGGACTGAGCAGGTTTTAGGGTCAAGCAGATACAACACTGAAGAACTGTATTTTGGATAGAAAGAGAGTGCTGTCAAAGGTAAAGGTGTACATACCGGGGATCCTGCAGCATCCCCGCCTGAGACTTCTTTTAATGCATTTGCATCCAGCTTGCCCCTGTGAGGGTAGAGAAAACTTCTTATTCCTCCTGCTCTGCATCTTCCACATGGCAAGTGGAGTTACAGAGAGTTTGTTCGCTGAGCAGCCTTTCTGGATGGAGAGGGAAGCCTAGGAATTTGATGGCAGAATATGCAATAAGCAAGGACTCACTGTGTACCCAACCTGCAGAACCATTCATCCTGCCCTTTCCTAGAATGTGGAGGCTGTTAGAGAACCCTGAAAGCCTTAAGTAGAAGAGGAAGTGGTGGGAAAATGCACTTATGAAATGCTGCATATCAGATATTTTAAAATTCCACGTTCTGTCTGCATGGGCGTTTGGTGAGTAGAAGGAAGGGAAGAACTGCACTTGAAAGCCCTAGTGTTACTTTCTGTGTCAGGGGATATCCAAATTGATTTAAGAGTGATAGTTTCAAAAAATTAATGACTGGAAGAAAATTCCATTCTTCTATGTAAGAGTGATCAAATATAATGTGACTTCCAATTGTCTTTTCTTTTTGTGTCTAGAATTTCTTTCCAGAGCAAATGGTTGCCTGGTGCCAGCAAACAAATGGAAGTATCCCACAGTCCCAGCTTTTGCAGGTACTGTAAGCTATCTGTATGCACAAAGAAAGTTTTGGAGCTGGAGGGGAGCGGTTGAGAGGAAGGAAGGGGAAATTCAAAGGTCTGGAAATAGCTGCTCAGAGAAAGACCAGTGCAGTGAGTTAGCATATGGTACTAATGTTGAAAATATCTGACAAAGATCTTACCCAGTGGCATTGAGGTGTAAGTTATAAACACAAAATAATTGTATCTATGTTCAAACATATTTGTTCCATTAATATTCAGCTTACTCTGTGGCTACCTGGTTTGGCCACCTAGCATTGTTCCTAAAACAGTCTCAGCAGGTATGTTTCTAGAAAACCAAATACACCTTATAAAAGGCAAAACAGAGGTACTCTTCTATACTCTGCATCATAGCATAGGAGAGAGTGTAAAAATGTGTGTGTAGATTAGAAGATGGGCTTGAGATTGAGAGGATTTGCTTTTGCTTTTTATGTCCCATGTCCCAACTAGCTGCTCTTTTATATAGAAAAATAATTCCCCAAGAAATAAGTGCAGGTAGTTACAGAAAATTGTATGTAGTATTTGCAAAGTAATCCCATTTAAAGCTCCCCACCTTAATTTACAGGTGTGTGTACCTTATGTATATGTGTCTGTAGAGTTGTGTGATGTGCATGGCAGTGGCACATGCGCTGAGTTTATACTGAAGTTTTGATGTCGCTTTACAGTTTCTTGCTTGCTCATGAAGGAACTGTGGTGGTGGCACAGTTGGTTGGCCCACCAAGGATGGTGCTGAAGGGTGGGCTACCTCTCTGACCAGTAACTCATTCACTTAAACCTCTTTAAATTAAGAACTCTGATCTAAACCCTGTAGTCTAAATCTTTCTCACTTTAGTTCTTTTCTCAAATGGGAGACATTCAACTCATGAGGCCAAATTAAAAAACAGTTTATTAAAAGAGTACTATATTAAGAATGTGAGACCATGATGCCTAGAAGACAGTACCACGAATAACAGGCAATTTATAAAGCAGAGGGCACACATATATGAAAAAAGCATGCATACAAAGAACTGATTTTAGCTTGATTTCTGTCATTTTGCATGTTTGCAAATACGCACTAACTCCCTGTTTAAATACAAGTTTCCATTGATTTTTGAACCAGTGCATTGATTTTGTCCTGCAACCACTTCAAAATCCATTAAATACTGGCTCCAGGCTCACTGCGAAGAATTTAAAACGTTAGGAACCACTCTCAGCTGGGAAATGGAACAAAAATGAAACTAATTTCTGGAATTAAAAATGAAAATCACATGCAATGAGGTTGCAGTTGGGAACCAAAACTGGCATGAACAGGCGTTGCCACAGACTGGTAGGAACAGAGGTGTTCACACCTTGGACCCTTTTTCCTGCAGTGTCAGTGGAGAATCGAGTTTGCTTGGTAACACGAGCAGTGGGACTCCATAAAAGAGCAGGATGGTTCTTGAAGATGGAAAGGTTTCGAACCTAGGGTAACGCAGACAGTAGGGAAGGGAAAACCTTACAACCTTGTGAGATACACGAGTTTGCTTCTGGGAAGGCTCAGTTAGGTACAGTCCAGGTGAAGCATAAGTCACGGGGGTTTACAGCGTGAGAAGGTGGGGGAAAGGACGGGGTGTATTCTCTTTGGTTCGTTGTTTAACCATAAAAACCAATCTTCCTTAAAGCATTTATATTAAATACCCCTTTCCTTTTAAAAAAGGCACAACCATTCTTCATAATTTCAATGACAGTTGTAATTTGTTGAAGGTAAACTTCCTGCAGTCTAGTAGTCATTAAGTGTGTTGCATCTGAGGCCACCTCAAACATTGAGCAAGTATGCTGTTTTTTTAATTACATATGAAATAGGGAAGAATATTAAACATCATCTCGCACTATCATGTACTTCATTAAGAGCTAGTATTTTTAGCCTTAGTAGCATTAAAAACACCGGGATCTGTTTTCGCTAGTGTCAGCCTGGCTTAGATAGGCAAAAAAGCTTGCATCTTAGTTTACTTTTGGTTTATCTAGCTGGACAGAGAGAATATATTCTCCTTTTGGTCCTTCCCTTTCACAGTTGAGAAGTGGATTCGTAGTATAAATAGCAGGAAAATTGACTGTTCTTTTCCATTCTGTTAGATGAGATGGGGAGGAGGACTGGAAAAAAGAATTGGGTTTTAATGCAACTAAGAATTCTGACATGGGGCACTGATTTTTGCTTTTGTTTCCTGTGGGCATCATCCACCAAATAACACCAAAACACAACTTTCAAGGATTGCGGAGGCATCTAGGCCAACCAGGTTTATGCATTTTTCTTCCTACTATTGAATTTATTAGGAGTTTGGCATTTAACTTACTGAGCAAGCCTTCTGTCATTTAAAAATCTGGTCCGTTGTAATAAGGGAGCAATCCATCAGTTTGCTAACCATAGTTAATACTTACTTCCTTTGATGTATTGCAAATCAAATGATTCCATATGTGGTCCTTCTAATTATGTCAAGAACTTAAATGCTTCTGGATCTTGAAGTCTAGTGTAATTACTGACATTTATTTGACTGCTCTACGTTTCATGTTGTGTTAAATATTCTGTCATACCTTGTGTCTTGGGACAGGTATGTGTGCTAGATGAGACATTAGTGTGGGAAATCCTGAAATAGGCTGTTCCCATTCTAAAACTTCTGGATGAAGTTGCAGATTTTGGCCAATGTTTCCAAGTTAGACTAGTTGGCCAAATTGTTGTGACAAGGTATTATTTTCTCTTAAGAATTAGTAAGCTTACTTTGTGTCCCTTCGGGACAGGTGCAAGAAGAATGGGGATACAGAGAAATGGTTGGCCTTTTGGAGATTTAAGTATTGACACAGAAAACAGGAAAATGTCAGTGGCAGGAAGGGTTAGCCAGGTAGACATCACAGGAGGAGCAGAAATACCCATTTTGGTCCATAAATCGGTTTAAACATCTGGGTCAGTTTCAGCATAAGGTGAAACTGCACCCTAAGTCAGCAAAGTGGTTTGTCATTTGCTTCTCTGTTCTGCCAATACAGTGACAATTTTATCCCTAGGACACAATCCTCATTTACATTTTCCTCTCCAACAGAACTTTTTAAACTCCAGTAGCTGCCCTGAAATTCAAGGTTTCTTGCATGTGAAAGAGCTGGGTAGGAAATCATGGAAGAAATTGTATGTGTGTTTGAGGAGATCAGGACTTTATTGTTCTACAAAAGGAACGTCAAAGGTAAGATTAAAGAAGAAGTTGCACAGTCCTAGCATGTGAAAGCATTTTCTGCTGTTACAGTGGGTATTTTTTTGCTCATTTTTAAATACCTGCACACAGTGTTCCCTTTTTTTATCGCATAGAAAAGGATAAGCAAGCCATGATCAAATGATAATCAAGCCCCGGGCTCTCAGTGCATGAAAATAGCTATATAGCATTGTTATACAATAAAACCAAACTAGCCAGGCAACATAATTGTGGGTACTGAAGTTGCGCTAACAAGGTTAGCAAGAGAAACCATGCTCTCCAAGCACATGGTTCATGAATTTAGTTTAGATGATACTTTAAACAATATTTTAGATTACCTAACTTTCTGATTTCTCGGGAGCAATGTAATAGGCTATGCCATTTTTAACATGATGTGTTTGAATAAGTGTTTTGTCAGCTTCTTGTATAAAGCACCTTCTGCTAGTAGGCTGATCCTTCCAAGGTGACAAGGCCATGGCCACGTCAGGCTGCCTGAGAGAGGAGCACAGTGCTCGTACACTGCCCTCTGTCGGAGGTTGGTCTTGAGGGACTGCGAAGCTTGCAGCACGATCTTCCCAAATCTTACACTTACCTGTGATAAAACACGTTATTTCCCCAGGAGCCAAGACATTTGCAGTTGTTGGCTGACCTAGAAGACAGCAATATCTTCTCGTTGATAGCAGGCAAGAAGTTGTACAATGCACCTGCAGAGTATGGATTTTGTATAAAGGTAAATTTTCTCATTAAGTTCTTCCAAAGTTCAAGATGGTGTTGGTAGCTCAGAGTGCCCCTGATCCTCAGCTAAATGGGATTTGTATGTAAAACTCTGCAAGCATTTCTGCCACGAGGACTTGATCTTTAACGTCTTTCATTTGGCAGGCGTGTCCTGTGAATCTTGCCATCATTTTATGTGACACTTTTAACACTTTATCTGGTGCTCCTTTGGCTTGGGGAATTTCTGTGAGAGATCAGCTCAGTGCTGAAGCATGGTGTGCCTGTGAGGTGGCCTTGGTTCACCTCACAGATGAAATTTTTTTTCCAAGTACTCTAACTGAATGGGAAAGTTTCCCTGGACAGCGAGCACCAACACTATATAGCAACAAAGGATCAAGCTCTGGTCGGGTGTAATTGTACCATTATTGTGGGCCAGAGGTTTGCATTTCTTTAAAGAAGAAAATTGTCTTGGAAAATGGAAGTAAGAATAAGCAGTTGCCTTTGAGGATTTTAAAAACTGTTGTGCCGATTTGGAAAGTATTTCAAAGCTCCATGTCATTTTCTGAGACGAAAATAAGGCTGGGAGCTGGTTTTATTGACAGCAGTGAAGTAGTCTCCATCCTCGCAGCCATTCCAGAGTTAGACAACATGGGTTTACCTCTGAGAGCAGAGACTGGCTGTGGGACAGATCCTGAACTGATGGAAGCAGACTTTCAGTAACCTTCAGTTACGGAAACTTTGGTTCTTCATCTTGAAATGGGGGCTCATAAAGCTTCTCACAAAAAAAAACCCTTCACGCCTTGGTTCTGGTTCTAGCATGGCCTGGGTACTTTATTCCTATAAAGAGCCAGAACTTCAGGGTATTTCAAAGCAGGCACCGACGTTTATCTTCCTGGACCCGGCTGAGAAAGTGATTTCTTTCAAAGCATGCTCAGCTTCTATTCAGGGTGGTGTGAGCTTTTTCTGGCCAGTTCTTAGACTAATACCGTACCTGCCTTTACTCTGCAGTAAACTGGCAGTGTTGTTGGTTTTCTACTGAATGTAGCTGACTTCCCTCTAATACTTTATAGCCCAACAGAGTGAGAAATGAAACTAAGGAACTGAGGTTGTTGTGTGCTGAAGATGAGCAAAGCAGGACGTGCTGGATGACTGCCTTTCGACTCCTCAAGGTACCTAATCTCTTTTATGTGAATAGAGCTACACTTATAGTTAAGTGGCATCCATTATTTTGTTCATGCGAAAATACCTATATGTTCTTAAACGTCATCTGCCTCCAGAACGATACAGCAAAATACCAGGTAGACCTGTCCCTCCTAAGCTTTTAAGCACAGGGCTGAGCTCAAGTCCTTCTACATATGAATCAAGTATAGTTTTAGTTCTGCAGCCAAATTTATGCTATGTGAATTAATCAAAAAACTGCCTAACAAGATATTTGCAAGTTATCAAAAAGCTAAAGAAAATGTTTTGATAATGGTAAGTGGTTATCTTAACTAGAACAGGGTGCTGTCTAGAGCCTTTGCATTTTTTTCAGTTTTCTGAAGGTTTTATTAAAAAAAAGTAACAGAAATAAGCAACCATATCTCTGGGTGAAAGTCATATCTGAGCGCAAACAATGAGATTTGTTGATAATATGGTAGGAGGCTTCACAGTGTTTTTGAAACAAAATCGGCATGGAAGGAACTGAGGAGAAAGTTGACTATTTTGTGCTCTTTGAAGCAGAGAACATGACAAATGTTTGCTACAATTACCTGTTCCTCTCCCCATGCAGACTGTCCATCATGCAAAACCCTGTAAGCGTAGAAAAAAGCAAATCAGAGTCCTAGGAGTATGGGTATGAAAACACAGTGCCTGTTCTCCATCTACATTAAGTGGTCACCTTCCAAACCAGAGCACGTCTCTTTGAATGCTCTCCAAATATTCTCTCATTTGTTAATTGTAAGGGATTCTGCGTTACAGTACAGAAATTCCTGGTTTAAGTTGTTACAAAAGCAGGTGCACTAGCCATAGTACGGGCCAGGATGCATGAAGCAATCCCGGTTACAAGGTGCGTATTTGATTTCTGTGGAGCTGATTCCTCTGTTGGCTACCATAATCCGCTCTCCAGTTACTCGACTTGACTCGTTTTTAATACACACTAACAATTATGGAAAGAGTTTTAGTCCCCAGGCAATTCCGAGTGCTTCCTCTCAGCTGTCCTTTACTTTCCGTATTTACACAGAATTTTGCATTGTGGGGAAAGCGCTCAAACAGAGGATCAGGTAATTATAGTGAATTGTGCCTTGAAGATATCACTTGTTCTGAAGAAGTTAGTTACACTGGTCGAGGCACTAATGTTCCTGAATGGGAAGGAAGAACCTTCACAGTGTACAGAATTAGCTATTCTTATGTAATATGTAGACATGCATCTTTGCTGTGACAGTTCAGAGGAATCTTTCTTTGCAGTGTGACCCGTGGCGGCAACGGTACCGTATGGCAATAATTTCTGTATACTGGCATATAAAATTCACCCTCAGGCAGTTAACACTGGGGGAAAAAAGGGGTTGTTTTTAAGGAATGCTGAAAGGTGATTAAAGGTGTATAGTCAGGGAAAATGAAGGCTATGCCCCAAGGCTCTGGCCATGACCCTCCTTTTTACTTACCTACCGATTTAGCTTTCCATAGTCATGTATTACCCTGTTCACGAAAAAATTATATATACCATTTCAATGAGAACATTCAGTAAGCAATGTTGCTATACTTCAGCACTGTGCCTCTAGGGAAAGCACTGAGTAGGTGTTTTCCTACCCTCCTAGCTACTAGTGTTGCTAAAATTTATCATGTTCAACAAGGAGCATGACTGCAATTCAATCACCTTATTTTTATAAGGATGAGAGAAGTACCAAAAGTGTTATTTCCTGCT